GCTGCATCGCTTTACTTCATGGTGCATCACGTAACACCATGCTGCATCACGTTCTATCATGTTGCAGCACGTTACATCACGTTACACAGTGTCGCGTCACGTCACATCATGTTACATCGTGTCGCGTCATGTTACATCATGTCACATCACGTTACACCGTGTCGCGTCACGTTACATCACGTCACATCACGTTACACCGTGTCGCATCACGTTACATCATGTCACATCACGTTACACCGTGTCGCGTCACGTTACATCACGTTACACCGTGTCGCGTCACGTTACATCACGTCACATCACGTCACATCACGTTACACCGTGTCGCGTCACGTTACTTCACGTCACATCACGTTACATCACGTTACTTCACGTCACATCACGTTACATCACGTTACACTGTGTCGCGTCACGTTACATCACGTCACATCACGTTACACCGTGTCGCATCACGTCACATCACGTTACATCACGTCACATCACGTTACACCGTGTCGCGTCATGTTACATCACGTTACATCACGTTACACCGTGTCGCGTCACGTTACATCACGTCACATCACGTTACACCGTGTCGCATCACGTCACATCACGTTACATCACGTCACATCACGTTACACCGTGTCGCGTCACGTTACATCACGTTACATCACGTTACACCGTGTCGCGTCACGTCACATGTTACATCACGTTACATCACGTTACACCGTGTCGCGTCACGTTACATCACGTCACATCACGTTACACCGTGTCGCGTCACGTCACATCATGTTACATCACGTTACATCATGTTACACCGTGTCGCGTCACGTTACATCACGTTACATCACGTTACACCGTGTCGCGTCACGTTACATCACGTCACATCACGTTACATCACGTTACACCGTGTCGCGTCACGTCACATCATGTTACATCACGTTACATCACGTTACACCGTGTCGCGTCACGTTACATCACATCACATCACGTTACATCACGTTACACCGTGTCGCGTCACGTTACATCATGTCACATCATGTCACATCATGTCACACCGTGTCGTGTCACGTTACATCATGTCACATCATGTCACATCCTGTTACATCGTGTCACATCGTGTTGCAGACTCCCCGATACAGGTGCGGCGTGACATTGTCCTGCTGACCGAGGACAGGAACCTGCGTCTGAAGGCCCACGCTCACAACGTACCCGTCTCCGGCGTGCCTGCTCTGCTCAGGTGGGCCAACCTCAGATGATGCTGATGCTGATGATTATGATGATGATGATGGTGATGGTGACTGCTGGTAAGAGCTTCTCACCAACAGATCTCACGTTGCCGCGGCGACGGTGTGGGCAGCGTCGCGATGCTCGGGTGTGCGCCCTTGGTCTAGCGTCGCCACGACGACTGCGACGTTACCGTGACGATGGCTACCGTGACGACCATGATGTTACCGTGACGACGGCCACCAGGATGACTGCGGGATGCTGCCGTGACGACCATGACCCGGTTCCACAGACGTGGATTAACTTTAACTCTCAGTTAAACTCACTAACTCTGAGTTAAATTTGGGTTTCATAAACATGGATTAAATCCTGAGTTAAGTAACTCGGAGTTAAATGTTTTAACTCAGCGTTAGTATCCCATAATTCCACGTAGTTAGAACAGACGAACATGATAAACGCATAGACGATAGATGCATGATAGACGCACGAACATGGTAGAAGGTGTAATGAAAAAACGTTATAATGAAAACCGGCAGCGATAAATAAACGAGGGAAAATATTTTGCCAATGCGGGGATTGAACCCGCAACGTTCGCGTCATTAGCACGGCGCGTTAACAGCTGCGGCTATTGCGAAATCGCTAAATATCGTACATTTTCCCGTATTATCACAGTACGGATGCCGGGATCATTATTGGTACGCCATCAATGGCCGACCAATGTACAACAAACGTAAACAAACACCGTATGTTCCAGCGCCAGCAGGGGATCGGACACGGGGCAGTACTAGATAAACTAATTAGCTCTAGTACTAGTATCCTACAGCTAAACTAACCTCGTAGAAAATTGTCTTCAAAGACTTCAAAGTCTAAAGGATTATACCGAAGACTATCTATAACTAAATCGAATGTAACTTGATTTTTAACCCTGAGTTAAGAGTTTAATCTAGGTTCATACCAGAGTTAAATTTTAACTCAGAGTTAGGCATATTTAACTCAGAGTTAGAGTTAATCCACGTCTGTGGAACCGGGTCCATGATGTTACCCTGGCAACGGCCACCAGGATGACCGTAACACGGGCAGGGCGACAGTTGCCATGACGACTGCTGTGGTCGCCGGCTGCTGATTGAACAACGATGATGTAACTCGATGGCGATATTTCAACGACGTCTCTTCGCTGGCGACACGCGTGAAATTTTAAAGTTGCGTCTGGGTAGTGGCGCCCCCTGGGGGCGCAGCAAGTCGTCCGGTCAGCGACGGTGTTTGTGTTTTGCGTCGATTATGTAGAGCGGGATATTTTCCCAGTGCACGCGTGTCGCCACCTGTGTGCGGAATTAGGTTTTCGATGGACCGCGGCATTGTTAGGAATGGCTTCTCTCTCACGGAAGCGTGACAACTAGCTTTTATATTAAACGTTATCCCTGTGTGTTGGGCGTGAGCACTCTGTGGTACTCTGTGGTACTCTGTGGTACTCTGTGGTACTCTGTGGTACTCTTGTGTGTACTCTGTGGTACTCTGTGGTACTCTGTGGTACTCTGTGGTACTCTGTGGTACTCTGTGGTACTCTTGTGTGTACTCTGTGGTACTCTGTGGTGCTCTGTGGTACTCTGTGGTACTCTGTGGTACTCTGTGGTACT